ATCCAGACCATTTGGTGGAGTCAGGAGTCAGCACAGAGAGATTTGTGTCTGAGGTGATTTTTCTCGAGCATTCAGTTCCCCCATTAACCTAAAATATGCACAACCCCCCAGTTAAATACACACCAATATACTGGCTTTGCAATGGACACCTATTATTTGTAAAAATGAAATATACACTGCAATGACTTGTTCCTAAACTTTGGGGGAAAAAAAAAAAAAAAAAAACACTTTCGGAAATATTATTATCATCTTAACATTTAACACCAAAAGTTTTTTTATTTTTTTATTTTAGAGGTGCTCTGATCACTGATACTGATCACATGGACTTTGATACTGATGCAAACATTATTTCTTTATTTAAAAAAAAAAAAAAAAAAAAAAAGGCTTTTGATTAGAAGTTTGATCAAAATCGAACTGGTTCCGACATTAATGGGATTTTGCTTGCAGTTTAAGACAGTTTGTGCCTCTAGCTGTACATCAGTTACCTATGTGGATGATCGGATCGGTATGTCTGATTGGCCCATTTTACGGCTCACCGACCACGTTATTTTTGCCTTAATGGTGGCCAGTCAATCAGAGCACCTCGACTTTAAATTGTAACTGTCACTACTGAACAGTTTTTGAGTTTTTAAAATGAATTCTTCCCTTTTAAAGTCATAAGATAAAGGCTTATATACTGTGTCCAACCTATAACCTTACTTTAAATTGTATCTATTTCATGTAAATCTATAATAACAGTCACATTCGATCTTGAATCTAAAGACCCCAAGCACAAAGTCGAACATTAATTTTGCATATACCATTTGTCGATTGGTAACTGCCAAATATAGAATCCCATATGGCCAATATTCTAAAATTACACTCACAATTGCTATCTTTGAGTCTCACTAAGAACTTTAAGTATTCTATGAACTGGAGACATTCACTCAGAAGAAGATACAGTAGAATTGTGTACATTTCTTCAGTCACCTTTGTGCAGAAGACTCCACTGCACTGATGCACTTGGCTGTTTGTGGTGGCTGTCTGGAACATATTGATTTTTTCCATAGTTGGTGTGACATTGTCTGCCATAGTTATAGTGTTTACATTTACTTGAATAACTTGAAAATCTCAGTTACACTTTATAATAACAACACTACAACATTAGCTTTAGCTTTAATACATCATGAAGAAAGATTGAATTCATATTAATGCACAAACGGTTTATTAATAGTTTATTAAAGGTCCACCATGTAACTTCTGTGTTGTAGGTTACTTCCTTATCTCAGTGGTGATGTTTTTTCTGTAACACACTTTAGTTTAGGGACCACATTAATAGCTAACTAAGTGGTAATTGGTTTGCTAATTAGCTGTTACTTTGCTATTAGTTGGTGTTAATTAAACACTTATTTATGCTTATTAAGATTTCAGTGTATGAACAAAAAGTCTATTGTAATCTTCACTACTTTAATGGGAAGAAAATAGTTAATGGGATAATACTCGCAAAATACGGCCTTTGTCAAAAATGTGTTGAAAGTACTTCATAAATACTAACAAAGATGTAATTAAGCACTTATTATGCATATTACTATTAACTAGCTCTTAATATGTGATCCCTAATCTAATTTTAATCTTATTTCTTTGCCTGGAATGTTCCAAAGTATAGCATTAAACATATCTCCTATGCATTTGTTCAATTGCAAGTGTTTTGCAGGTGTTTATCTCAAACATACCATAAAAACATGAATCCTTACCATATACATGCTTGCTTCTCCATAGATCTGACCATTAACCTATCTCCATCGTGTTTATTTCCATACTATGGAATAATCAAGGCAAAACAATTCAGACTAGTAACAACATAATTAAGAGGTTATTGTTGGTGTTTTGGGTGAAAATGTAAAAGAAAAAAAAAATCAAATTTTTCTTAAAGCCAGATTACAATTTCCACTTATCACAATTTCATGTACATTCAGTATTTTCACATGAAAACATTTTCTTCTGAAAGTTCACACTTCATTGCAATTGGTTACATTATTCAGGGCTGCTGAGTTTGACCAGTGGGGTGGGTGGGGAAAAGTGTATTTGTTTGAGCATCTGGCTCAATAAAAGTAAATGAGTGAATCACGATATGATGGTGTTACTAAAATAAGATCACGATTCAGTTTTTATCACCACATTGCCCAGCTCTAGTTCAGGTATTTTTTAAAGCTTGGTGTGGTTATTCTGAAGTGTTTTCAAAATACCATGCTTCTGAAATGCAGTAGTGCCCCATGTGTTTTACTTGATAACAGTACATTTTCTTGTGCACTATTGAACTGTGCTTGACCTGGGCATGTGTGGGTAGTACTGGGAGTAACACAGACCATGTGTGCCCCCTCCTCTCTTCCCGACTCCACAAAGCCCTCTCATAAAGTCATTTCCCCTTCTCTCCCACTAAACCTTGTGACCACACAACACAGTCATTCTATCACTGTGGAAAATAATGATATGTTTTATTCATGGGGTAAAATTGTAGAGT